ATGTTAACAAGCCTCAATAACATTGACATAAACAATTTTGTACAAATTCTTTTAATAATTTATCTTAAAATGCCGAAAGAAATCAAAAAAACGTAAATTCGTCAGACTTTGGCAAGAAATTTTTAAGCAAGATTTGCTAATGGTGGAGATTTTCGGGAAAAATGATGGTTAGTATATGCGTATAGCACATTGACGACGCGCTCTATAATTTAATAGCTTATTAAAATCTATTGCATTCCAGAAAGTCAACGAAGAAATGAGTAGGAAATAATGGATGAATTAGCTCTTCTTGAGGTTTTTTCTAAACAGTTCAGATATGGGTGTCCATCATGATACACAAAACAAGGTAGTTCCATTGTCACTTTTTCGTCGCCATATTAACAACCTGACAATTAAGCAGATTGTGACATTTCGTGCTACCATACCCAATATCTAAAATCCTTCAAATTTTCTTATTAATTTTTTGTCGATTTAAAAATCTTTGTTCTTAAGCATAGTATTTAATTCCTGTTTCACGTGAAAAAGCTGTTAAAGTGCATATAAAATTTGTTTCTGTGAAATAAGTGTGAAATTCCATAACATTTCCTCGGCAAAGTAGTATTCTGTTCACGCTGTGAAAAAGCTTGCAACATTTTTGCAACATGAAGCTAGCAACACAATTTTCATGACATTTTTAAATACACGTGTACATATTAAATTGTGTGAAAGCTGACAGTTTATAGAATTCAGTAGCGGCGAAAACAAAGGGGGGTTAAGTGGTTAAACCTTACCCAAGCCGATCGTAAAACTTGCGACGCAATTTCAGCTTATGCCTGTCGGTATTGGCAAGAATTTAATCCCTCAAGGTTTAACTTAACATGGTTCTTGGGATACACCCTGTGATCATGTTACTTTCCAGAAGGTGTCGCGCCCGTTTTTCTCATCTCTCATCTTCATCTCTTTCTGCGTCACCAGAATTTTAGTTTATATGGCTTATACCGCTAGCTCTCGTAGCTGGATACGAGATCGTTTTCATATACCCCCATCTTTCATAGATTTGGGATTGATTTCATTTACCTCTATTCCAGTTCTACGGTGGCACGCTGCATTTTTCAATAAACCCATATTTCTCCATGAGCTTGAGATTGACATATATCCATACCAAGTTCCAGGACTCTACCATAAATACTTTCAGAGATATGCACTATGAAAAATTCGATTTGTATGTGGGTGTGGAACCCCCCTTTAGATATCGGTTTTGTTTTAGCCTATAACCATTCTTGGAAAATTTGTGTCCGAAATTTAAAAAAAATCGGTGTAGCCGGTATGGGCATTGTGACTCCTCAAGAGAAATGAACTAATGATTGCATAAAATGACGTCATAGTTGACCAAAAAAGGACATTAGACTTCATTCTCTCAACTTCTCAGAATGTAGAAAAGCTAAGAAATATATAATAAGATAGTATATATTAAAACAGCCTCCAGAACATTTACCAAAAGCGCCCCTGAACTACACAAATCAGGTTGATTGAAAATTTGTTTTTATCTATTTATTTTATACTTCACTTTTGGGTGTGTAAAAATTTCATGTGAAACAATATGTGTTGCTGGAAAAATTTCACGGCCCATGGTTCCAAAGTAAATTCCATTTGCTGTTAAATGGACAAAGACAATATGTATTAAATAACACATCGAAATGTATAATTTCAGTGTCTGAATTATATCAGAATCATCGTATCCGATAAAGAAAACTACATTGTGAAACAATCAGATGACATGAGGACACTAAAAAAATTTTAAAATATGTTCATGATAATGATTTGGCAAGTTGTTATCGAATTTAATGTAAAATTTAAACATTTTTAAGATAAGATATTAATTATTTTTAATAGGTAAATATTAACACAACTATTTTATTTATAATCCCAAATTTGGGATAAAAAATCTCCCACACCAAAAAACTTACAATTGGGTAACGCCGCTTCGAATTTTTCACAATTGAGCAATTGTCAAAAATCTGCTTTTTAATCAAAAAGTTGTTTATTGAAACTACCTTCTTTTTTGTATCATGGGTGTCCATTCATTCATAACTTTGTTCCGAAATCCCATAACTTTTTAATGAGTGTATTGCCAAACCTGGACGAAACCAGATTCCGACAAATTACGCGTGTCAGCAGGGCCACATTCAAAGTAATTTTAGATTTAATAAAAGATGACTGAGTATTCAACGGACCTCGTTCATGTATGCAGTTTTCAGTACAAACGCAGCTCGCAGTTGTGTTATACCGATTAGGTTCAAGTGGAGAAAGAGGAACAATTTCCAAAATTGCAAGCTTGTTTGGCGTAAGTGATGGTGGAGCAATACAGGTAAATAATGTGGTGGATGATGACTTTAGAAAACTTGGCATATTTTATATATGTATATACATACTTACATTCTTCAACACATTATGACCAATAGAATTTTCGACGCTGTATCAACCCATACTTACTTATGAAATACCAATATCAAAATGAGCACACAAGAACCTGCTATGTTAGTCGTCTTTATTGCGCGTACCACCTGCCCCGGTCGCTGTTCAACATCAACTAACTCTAATTACACTTCGCTCTCCTAGTTCTAATTCTAGCCCTCTGCTGCTGTTCTCCACATCCCTTCTTTTTTTCCAGCTTCAGGCGAAGGTTTGGACGAACGACTGGAACTTCATCTCCGGGTACCTCAGAAGAAGGGACACTCACCGCGGTCGAGGTTGACTGCAAGTCCAGTGACGAAGAATCTGCTGTTTTCTGATCGACATCTTTCATTGCACCAGCCGGTACCCTTTTGACGTGTTTAATGTTTCTTCTATATATTTTCTCACCATCCGAAATCGTAACCTCACTTCCGCTCCTTTCTACAACCGTGTACTCCGTTGGGTCAAACGTGGGTGTAAACTTATGTGGGAAAACAACATTTTGCATAAGGACCTTGTCTCCCCGTTCTATATCGGATTCTCTAGCCCTTCTCTTCTTATCTCACTTTTCTTTTCCTCTTTGCTTATTTATTATGTCAAGATCTCTTGCTGCGTTGTCCATCATGTCATCAGATATGTCCAGAATTCCTGGTATTTTGTCACGAATAACACGATTAAACATTAGTTCCGTTGGAGGGACCCGGTGGAGCCATGTGTTGTCGCATTGTACATCATAATGAAATCTTTTATTTCCTTTTTATAATCTTTCTTGTTCGTATGCGCAATCTTTAGTCGCTTCACCAATGATTGATTCATATTTTCGACCTCTCCCTTTGCCTGCGGCCAGTATGGCGGTGTGGTCACTAGAGCGATATTATTTTCTTTACAAAATTTTCTAAATTCGGTACTGACATATTGTCTACCATTATCGGCTCTGAGAGACTTGGGTATACACAAACGACAAAAAATGCGCGCAGTGTGTTGATTATGGATTCTGAGGTAATTCTTCTTAAGAATTGTATTTCTTGATACCGAGAATAATAGTCGGTTAAGACAAATATGTACTCATTGTTTGGGAGTGGACCCAGTAAATCTGTCGCAACATACTGCCATAAGGAACAAATTTACCCACATAGGTGACCAGGCCCAAAAAGCTCCTTGTCTCTTCCTGTGTTTGCGGTGCTCTAAACTCTCTAATCATACTAATCTTATCCTGGTTTGGAGAAATTCCTTCTTCAGACAACACGTGTCCCAAAAATTGTAGACTCTTTACTCCCCATATGCAGTTATCGTTATTAAAAAGCAAATTATTGTTTTTAAAAATTTCCAGCACCTGGTTAACAGCCTTCTCGTATTCCTTTTCGGTGTTTCCAAAAATAATGACGTCATCAATGTAATTTAGCGCCTTCTCACACGGTGACAGCAACCCCTCCAGTAGCCGCTGGAAAATTTCTGGAGCAGAGCTGATTCCGAACATCAACCTT